AAACAGGACTGCAGCATCAACTCAGGCCGTAGATACAGTTCTGAGGAACTTCTACGTTGATGACTGTTTAAAGTCGGTCAGTAGTGACTCTGAAGCCATTGCCCTGAGCAAAGACCTCATGTCCTTGTGCGCCTCAGGAGGCTTTCACCTTACCAAATGGACAAGCAATAGCCGAGCCCTCTTGAAAACTATTCCAGAGAGTGAAAGAGCCAAGGAAGTAAAAGACCTAGATCTGGCTAAAGAGGCCCTGCCTGTCGAAAGAGCACTCGGCGTCCTTTGGTGCATAGAATCAGATTCATTCAAGTTCAGAGTCAACATCAGCCTGAGAGCAGCCACAAGAAGAGGAGTGTTGTCAGTGGTAAGCTCCATCTATGACCCACTAGGATTCCTTGCCCCAGTTGTGCTCCCAGCTAAGATCTTTCTCCAGCAACTATGCAAGGAAAAGCTTACATGGGATGAGGACATTCCTGATGGGCTTGCACAATACTGGAACACCTGGTTAAGCCAACTACCACAGCTTTCCAACTTTTTAGTTAGGAGGTGCATCAAGCCTGAGGGATTTGGAAGTATTGCTACTGCACAGCTACACCACTTCTCAGATGCCAGTGAGAGTGGTTATGGATCGGTGTCATTCCTGAGGCTGAAAAACAAGGAAGGCCTTGTGCATTGTGCCTTTATGATGGGAAAGGCAAGGGTCGCTCCACTAAAGCAAACTACCATCCCACGTATGAAGTTAACTGCTGCTGTACTAGCTGTAAAGATGGACAGACTGCTCAGAAAGGAGCTCCAGTTAGAACTACAAGAATCAGTGTTTTAGATCGACAGTACTGCAGTCTTGAAGTACATAGCAAATGAGGCCCTACGTCTAAAGACCTTCGTGGCCAATAGGGTTGCTGTAATACATGAAGAAACAAAGGTGGATCAATGGAGGTACATCAACACCGCAGAAAATCGAGCTGACTGTGCCTCTCGTGGTATCACAGCAGAGCAGTTTGTAGCCAGACAGAGTTGGATGGAAGGGCCAGCGATCCTAAAAGACCCAGACTACAAATGGCCTGAAAAACAGGACAGTGTGAAACTCCCTGAGGAGGACAATGAAGTGAGAAAACCTGTCTTCATGCACCGTATAGACGTTGTTGAAGGCATGGACGCATTGGACAAGCTAATGCGCTACTATTCAAGCTGGTGTCGTCTGAAAAGAGCCATCGCATGGATGCTCAGACTAAGAAAAGGTCTCCTGATTCTAGGTAAAAGACGTCAAGAATTGGAGGGTCGACAAGATTCAAAACGGGCAAAAGGCCAAAAAGAAAAAAAAATGCAGCAGTATGAAGGCACACTTAAGCATGGGGCTCCTTACTGTGGAGGACTTCAACGAATCAGAGATGGTAATCATCCGCTACTGTCAATGCCGCAGTTTCCCGGCAGAGATTTCTGCTCTAAAAAACGAAAAAACACTGGTCAAAGGTAATAGTCCCATTCGGAGACTAGACCCAGTGCTGCTGGATGGCGTTCTGTGAGTTGGAGGTCGACTCAGTAAATCTGCTATGCCCGAAGAATCAAAGCACCCCATAATCATGCCCAACAACATGCATCCTACAATGCTGCTTCTGCAAGATATACACGAAAGAGTCGGACATTCAGGAAGAAATGACATGCTTTCCCGTCTGCGCCAGAGATTTTGGATTCCTGCTGCAAATTCAGCAGTAAGAAAAATCCTGTCTAGGTGTGTGACATGCAAAAAATTACAGGCAAAGAGTCAAGGACAAAAGATGGCAGATTTACCTTCAGACAGACTGCTTCCAGACAAACCACCCTTCACCAATGTAGGTGTGGATTATTTTGGGCCTATAGAGGTCAAAAGAGGTCGCAGCATCGTTAAAAGATATGGAGTATTGTTTACATGTATGACTACCCGAGCCATACACCTAGAGGTCGCTCACACACTTGACACAGACTCCTGTATAAATGCTCTGCGTCGCTTCATGTGCAGAAGGGGCCAAGTGTCACTTATGAGATCCGACAACGGCACCAACCTAGTCAGCGCAGACAAAGAATTACGGGCAGCTATGCAGCAGTGGAATCAAGCCAAAATGCAGGAAGCTCTTGCTCAGAAAGGAAATCCAGTGGGTTTTCAACCCTCCCGCTGGACCTCACTTCAGTGGAGTATGGGAGAGGCAGGTAAAATCCGTAAAGAAGGTCTTAAAGTCTGTCCTTCATGAGCAAACAATTGACGACGAGTGTCTCCAGACTGTGTTGTGTGAAGTTGAGGCCATACTTAATGACAGACCTTTAACCACATCATCTGATGACCCAAATAACATTGAACCCCGCTGACGCCAAATCATCTGCTGTTATTAAAGAAACAGCCATTGCTTCCTCCAGGGCTGAGCTGCAAGGATGACTGCTACACACGTCGCAGATGGAAGCAAACGCAGTACATAGCAGACCTGTTCTGGAAAAAGGTGGGTGCGTGAGTACCTGCCTGACCTACAGGAGCGTCAAAAATGGACTAAAGTGAAGCAGAATCTAGCACCAGGGCACATTGTCATGATCCTGGACGACAACGCCCCTCGGAGCTCGTGGCTTCTGGGAAGAGTCGTGCAGACCATCACAGACTCTAAAGGACTGGTTCGTAGAGTACTGGTTAAAAACAAAATCCAGTAACTTTGGAGAGGCCTGTGGAAAGACTTTGCCATCATTTGTGAATAGGACACTTGATTTTGCCTTTACAAAAAAAAAAAGTACATAAAATACGTATATTTAGTTTGTTTATGGAAAAACCCATGTCAAGGGGTGTAGGTGGATTCCTCCCCCAAAGGTACATGCAAACGCTGTTTGTTAGGAGTATAGTTGAGCTATTGTTAGCCATATGTTAGTTTGGAAATGACTCTTTTTATTATTATTAATTATAAGTCTTTCCCGCCTTATAATTAGGGGCCGGAATTGTAAGAGCCATTTAGGCACATTATTTTATGGTAATGAATTATGGTTTTGTGAGCCAATTGAATATTCTTTAATTTAACTTAAATGAGCTGAATATTATGAATTACTATTATACTGTTTTTTGTAACGTGTCATCTTGCTTATGGACAGCTCTAGTTTATGTTGTTATTATTTATACAAAGCAATAGGAGGGGCGTGCTCAGGTATAAATGACGCTGCCAGCATGACACAGCAGGAAGTCTAGAGAGGAAGTTGGAAAAAAGTTTTTGAACGCACACATCCGTATGACCAGGAATCTTGTTTGTTATTTGTTTTAAATACCGTGCAAACGTTGCACGTCGGCAGTGGGCTGCCAGCTGATGGAACCTTTCAATAAAGCACCTGAATGGAACAAGCAAGGTATCTGGTTTCTTGAATATACGGCGAGTCAATACCCCAAAGAGGGTGGAGGGGGAAGGGGCTTTGGGGGGGTCCAAGAGGGTGGAGGGGGAAGGGGCTTTGGGGGGGGTCCAGGAGGGAGGGGCTTTGAGGGGGTCCAAGAGGGTGGAGGGGGAAGGGGCTTTGGGGGGGTCCAGGAGGGAGGAGGGGGAGGGGCTTTGGGGGGGTCCAAAGAGGGTAGAGGGGCAAGGGGCTTTGGGGGGGGTCCAAGAGGGAGGAGGGGGAAGGGGGCTTTGGGGGGGTCCAGGAGGGAGGAGGGGGAGGGGCTTTTGGGGGGTCCAAGAGGGTGGAGGGGGAAGGGGCTTTGGGGGGGTCCAGGAGGTTAGGAGGGGGGAGGGGCTTTGGGGGGGGTCCAAGAGGGAGGAGGGGGAAGGGGCTTTGGAGGGGGTCCAGGAGGATGGAGGGGGAAGGGGCTTTGGGGGGGGTCCAAGAGGGTGGAGGGGGAAGGGGCTTTGGGGGGGTCCAGGAGGGAGGGGCTTTAGGGGGGTCCAAGAGGGTGTAGGGGGAAGGGGCTTTGGGGGGGTCCAAGAGGGTGGAGGGGGGAGGGGGGGTCCAAGAGGGTGGAGAAGATGGAAAATAGTTTTTTGGGATTGGAATAGGAAGATTGGATCTTATCTTGAAAGAAAGTGCTTTTTGCCTGAGAGATGGAAGCAGAGAAAGAGGAGAGGAGAGCCTGATAGGTTAGGAGGTCATCATGGTGTTTGGATTTCCACCGGTTTCCGCTCTGCTGCCCTAAGGACGGTTCTATTAGCACGCAGTGCATCATTTAGCCAGGGAGCAGGAGGGGACTGACGAGCCTGCCGAGATGTGAGAGGACAGAGAGAGTCCAGAGAGGATGAGAGAGTAGAGAGGAGAGTTTCTGCAGCATAGTTTGGAGGCAGGAGTTGGAACGAGTCAGAGGAAGGGAGGGCTGAGAGCACCGATGAGGCAAAGGTAGAGGGGGAGAGGGAACGAAGGTTACGGCGGACAGGTGCAGGATGAGAAGAGATTAGTTTGTTATGTTTGGAAAGGGGTAGAGAGAATGAAATGAGATGAAAAGTGAGAGTCAAAGATTATATGAGAGTGAGAGTGTGTTAATTAATATATTTGGCAGTTTGGAGTAAGTCTGTAGATTTGTTTGTGTGTGTGTGTTTCATATAGCTCTCACGATAATTCATTTTTTTGGATACATTTTCCCGGAAATTGTTGCGATAAACGATAATATTGTCGGCACCATTGTATGACCATTTTAGACCACTGACATAATGATAATATATAATAATAATTCAAGTACATCCTTTCAAACTGCTAGTCACATCCTCATGTAAATGGCAATTTATCGAGTTCATTTTATTTATCGTACGATAAGTCAATGAATTGCTTATCGCGACAGGCACACAATAAAACAGTGGAATCAAACATGTGTTTGACTTTCATTAGTGAATGAAACTTTGTGCCCTTTATAGTCTGTGTCCAATATTGTGTATTTGTATATATTGTATATGTATCCTATATATATGCTGCTGACACGATAGCAGTCATTTCGTGCGCATATGTGTAATCAAACCCATGATATCAAAATCTCACTCCAGCCAGGAACCCAAAGTTGGCAACCCTGGTCTAAAGAGTGTATTCTGCAGGCGGATCAGCGCGTCCTGAAGGACTTCCTGTCAGAGAAGCTCCCTCGTCTCTCTGCTCACCTGCAGCTTCACAGCGTGGACGTGTCTCTGGTCTGCTTCAACTGGTTCCTGGTGGTGTTCGTGGAGAGTCTGCCCAGCGACCTGCTGCTGAGGCTGTGGGACGCCTTCCTGTATGAGGGCAGCAAGGTGACCCCGATAATCACTCAGATAGGTGACCACGCTACACCACGATCACTCAGAGAGGTGACCACGCTACACCACAATCACTCAGATAGAGGTGACCACGCTACACCACAATCACTCAGATAGAGGTGACCACGCTACACCACAATCACTCAGAGAGGTGACCACGCTACACCACGATCACTCAAAGAGGTGACCACGCTACACCACAATCACTCAGATAGAGGTGACCAGGCTACACCACAATCACTCAGAGAGGTGACCAGGCTACACCACGATCACTCAGAGAGGTGACCACGCTACACCACAATCACTCAGAGAGGTGACCACGCTACACCATGATCACTCAGATAGAGGTGACCAGGCTACACCACAATCACTCAGAGAGGTGACCAGGCTACACCACGATCACTCAGAGAGGTGACCAGGCTACACCACAATCACTCAGAGAGGTGACCACGCTACACCACAATCACTCAGAGAGGTGACCACGCTACACCACAATCACTCAGAGAGGTGACCAGGCTACACCACAATCACTCAGAGAGGTGACCACGCTACACCACAATCACTCAGAGAGGTGACCACGCTACACCACAATCACTCAGAGAGGTGACCACGCTACACCACAATCACTCAGATAGAGGTGACCACGCTACACCACAATCACTCAGATAGAGGTGACCACGCTACACCACAATCACTCAGATAGTGGTGACCACGCTACACCACAATCACTCAGATAGAGGTGACCACGCTACACCACAATCACTCATAGAGGTGACAACGCTACACCACAATCACTCAGATAGAGGTGACCACGCTACACCACAATCACTCAGATAGAGGTGACCACGCTACACCACAATCAATCATAGAGGTGACCACGCTACACCACAATCACTCAGATAGAGGTGACCACGCTACACCACGATCACTCAGATAGAGATGACCACGCTACACCCAATCACCAGAGAGGTGACCACGCTACACCACAATCACTCAGATAGAGGTGACCACGCTACACCACAATCACTCAGAGAGGTGACCACGCTACACCACAATCACTCAGAGAGGTGACCACGCTACACCACAATCACTCAGAGAGGTGACACGCTACACCACAATCACTCAGATAGAGGTGACCATGCTACACCACAATCACTCAGAGAGGTGACCACGCTACACCAACACTCAGATAGAGGTGACCACGCTACACCACAATCACTCAGAGAGGTGACCACGCTACACCACAATCACTCAGATAGAGGTGACCACGCTACACCACAATCACTCAGAGAGGTGACCACGCTACACCACGATCACTCAGATAGAGGTGACCACGCTACACCACGATCACTCAGATAGAGATGACCACGCTACACCACAATCACTCAGATAGGTGACCACGCTACACCACGATCACTCAGATAGAGGTGACCACGCTACACCACGATCACTCAGATAGAGGTGACCACGCTACACCACAATCACTCAGATAGAGGTGACCACGCTACACCACAATCACTCAGAGAGGTGACCACGCTACACCACAATCACTCAAGAGGTGACCACGCTACACCACAATCACTCAGAGAGGTGACCACGCTACACCACAATCACTCAGAGAGGTGACCACGCTACACCACAATCACTCATAGAGGTGACCACGCTACACCACAATCACTCAGAGAGGTGACCACGCTACACCACAATCACTCAGAGAGGTGACCACGCTACACCACGATCACTCAGAGAGGTGACCACGCTACACCACAATCACTCAGAGAGGTGACCACGCTACACCACAATCACTCAGATAGAGGTGACCAGGCTACACCACAATCACTCAGATAGAGGTGACCACGCTACACCACGATCACTCAGAGAGGTGACCACGCTACACCACGATCACTCAGAGAGGTGACCACGCTACACCACAATCACTCAGAGAGGTGACCACGCTACACCACAATCACTCAGATAGAGGTGACCACGCTACACCACGATCACTCATAGAGGTGACCACGCTACACCATAATCACTCAGAGAGGTGACCACGCTACACCACGATCACTCATAGAGGTGACCACGCTACACCACAATCACTCAGATAGAGGTGACCACGCTACCACACGATCACTCATAGAGGTGACCACGCTACACCACGATCACTCAGAGAGGTGACCACGCTACACACGATCACTCATAGAGGTGACCACGCTACACCACATCACTCAGAGGGTGACCACGCTACACCACGATCACTCATAGAGGTGACCACGCTACACCACGATCACTCAGATAGAGGTGACACGCTACACCACAATCACTCATAGAGGGGACCACGCTAAACCACGATCACTCAGAGGTGACCACGCACACCACATCACTCAGATAGAGGTGACCACGCTACACCACAATCACTCAGATAGTGGTGACCACGCTACACACACAATCACTCATAGAGGTGACCACGCTACACCACAATCACTCAGATAGAGGTGACCCGCTACACCACAACACTATAGAGGTGACCACGCTACACCACAATCACTCAGATAGAGGTGACCACGCTACACCACAATCATCATAGAGGTGACCACGCTACACCACAATCACTCAGAGAGGTGACCACGCTACACCACAATCACTCAGAGAGGTGACCAGGCTACACACGATCACTCAGAAGAGGTGACCACGCTACACCACAATCACTCAGATAGAGGTGACCACGCTACACCACAATCACTCATAGAGGTGACCACGCTACACCACAATCACTCAGATAGAGGTGACCACGCTACACCACGATCACTCAGATAGAGGTGACCACGCTACACCACGATCACTCAGATAGAGGTGACCACGCTACACCACGATCACTCAGATAGAGATGACCACGCTACACCACAATCACTCAGATGAGGTGACCACGCTTACACCACAATCACTCAGATGAGGTGACCACGCTACACCACGATCACTCAGATAGAGGTGACCACGCTACACCACAATCACTCAGATAGAGGTGACCACGCTACACCACGATCACTCATAGAGGTGACCACGCTACACCACAATCACTCAGAGAGGTGACCACGCTACACCACAATCACTCAGAGAGGTGACCACGCTACACCACGATCACTCAGAGAGGTGACCACGCTACACCACGATCACTCAGAGAGGTGACCACGCTACACCACAATCACTCAGAGAGGTGACCACGCTACACCACAATCACTCAGAGAGGTGACCACGCTACACCACAATCACTCAGAGAGGCGACCACGCTACACCACGATCACTCAGATAGAGGTGACCACGCTACACCACAATCACTCAGATAGAGGTGACCACGCTACACCACAATCACTCAGATAGGTGACCACGCTACACCACGATCACTCAGAGAGGTGACCACGCTACACCACAATCACTCATAGAGGTGACCACGCTACACCAAAATCACTCATAGAGGTGACCACGCTACACCACAATCACTCAGAGAGGTGACCACGCTACACCACAATCACTCAGATAGAGGTGACCACGCTACACCACAATCACTCAGAGAGGTGACCACGCTACACCACAATCACTCAGAGAGGTGACCACGCTACACCACAATCACTCAGATAGAGGTGACCACGCTACACCACAATCACTCAGATAGAGGTGACCACGCTACACCACAATCACTCAGAGAGGTGACCACGCTACACCACAATCACTCAGAGAGGTGACCACGCTACACACAATCACTCAGATAGAGGTGACCACGCTACACCACAATCACTCAGATAGAGGTGACCACGCTACACCACAATCACTCAGATAGAGGTGACCACGCTACACCACAATCACTCAGATAGATGACCACGCTACACCACAATCACTCAGAGAGGTGACCACGCTACACCACAATCACTCAGAGAGGTGACCACGCTACACCACAATCACTCAGATAGAGGTGACCACGCTACACCACAATCACTCAGAGAGGTGACCACGCTACACCACGATCACTCAGATAGAGGTGACCATGCTACACCACAACACTCAGAGAGGTGACCACGCTACACCACAATCACTCAGATAGAGGTGACCACGCTACACCACAATCACTCAGAGAGGTGACCACGCTACACCACGATCACTCAGATAGAGGTGACCACGCTACACCACAATCACTCAGATAGAGATGACCACGCTACACCACAATCACTCAGATAGAGGTGACCACGCTACACCACGATCACTCAGATAGAGGTGACCACGCTACACCACGATCACTCAGATAGAGGTGACCACGCTACACCACAATCACTCAGATAGAGGTGACCACGCTACACCACAATCACTCAGAGAGGTGACCACGTACTACCACAATCACTCATAGAGGTGACCACGCTACACCACAATCACTCAGAGAGGTGACCACGCTACACCACGATCACTCAGAGGGTGACCAGGCTACACCACAATCACTCAGAGAGGTGACCACGCTACACCACAATCACTCAGATAGAGGTGACCAGGCTACACCACAATCACTCAGATAGAGGTGACCACGCTACACCACGATCACTCAGAGAGGTGACCACGCTACACCACAATCACTCAGAGAGGTGACCACGCTACACCACAATCACTCAGAGAGGTGACCACGCTACACCACAATCACTCAGATAGAGGTGACCACGCTACACCACAATCACTCATAGAGGTGACCACGCTACACCACAATCACTCAGAGAGGTGACCACGCTACACCACGATCACTCATAGAGGTGACCACGCTACACCACAATCACTCAGATAGAGGTGACCACGCTACACCACAATCACTCATAGAGGTGACCACGCTACACCACGATCACTCAGAGAGGTGACCACGCTACACCACGATCACTCATAGAGGTGACCACGCTACACCACAATCACTCAGAGAGGTGACCACGCTACACCACGATCACTCAGATAGAGGTGACCACGCTAAACCACGATCACTCATAGAGGTGACCACGCTACACCACAATCACTCAGATAGAGGT